CTGCTGAAGAGATGGAGGACACAGAGAGGCAAGGAGAGTTTGGAAAAAAACAGTTAAAAAAAAGACCAACCACTGACTATGATTAAACTGATTAACTCTCCCACTGATTAAACTATGGGACAGTCTCCAAAGAGGAACAGGAAAATCATCAATGAGTATATCACTGTTATTTGCTATGTCTTTGATGGATCAGGAAATGTTTTCAAAGCAATTCTATAGTTGCCAGTTTGGTTTTAGACCCTTTACTTTGCTCATCATGAGTAGGACAAAAAAATTGAGTGACCTAATCTGGCCTAGGTGGGTTTTTTTAATACACATTATATCTGTCTCTGCACAAACATTTAATTCTGTGACAGCCCATCTCTAGACCTTTGTGCAGTTCCTTTTGAGACCAGAAAGCTTGTCAAAGGATGCTGAGAGCTGCTGAGCCACCTGCCCTCAAATGGTTAAACCATCTTCTTGCTTCATTCTTAAATATAACTGCTCAGTCACAACACTGCATCAACCTGATTAGAATGGTTTCCTTTTCCCAACATACAAGAGGATTTTCAAGTGGGTAAGGGAATCCTGCCTACCACAGGAAATATACTTTATTTTTGGATACAGAATCTTATTTCTATTCTAGGAATCAACCAACTGCAATTGTCACTGACAATAAAGACATGCAACCCTCCTCACCACTACTCGAGTGAGACCCAGTGAAACTATTTAAAAAATAATCATCCTCAGCTTAGGCTTTTTGTCTATGAAGTTAAATTTAATCCTGAAATTATCAAGTGATCAGTATATTATCAATTGCCAGCGTAACAAATTATATTTGTGGTTCATTGTGGGGGGTTTTTTAAATATTGCCCAGTATTTAAATATTGATCAGGATTGTCCAAGTCCAAGAACCCCAACAAACAGAACTGACTCCTCGTGCTGAGCAGCTCAAACAGCAACAGGACTCAAGAAGATTCTTCCTCCCCAAATCCCTGCTATTTTATATAGCTTGAATATTCAGGATATTTTCAAAACTTAAGCAGTCAAAGCTTCCAGAAACTAGAATCTTGCAGAGGTTTCCACATTATTCTTGACTGGGCAAAGGAGAACATTTGCTTCAGCTGGAGCAAGCAATGTTCTCTGTCCAAGAGCCTTCCCACTGAAAAAAACCCTCATTCTAAAGGAATGAAAACAAAATGTCCACTTCAGATATTTCCATAGCACAAGTGTGGAATTACAAGGGAACCACACTTTGGTCTCTCCTGTAGTCTTCTACATAAACACAGTAAAACCCCCAAAAAAAGTAGATCTGGGCACCAAGAAGATAAGATTGAAAGCCAACCTGTAAGTCATATAACTAAATACAGCTTTCTTATTTTTTCCTACAGAAATGGCTCAACAAAACTGGTTTACAAAGAAATGCCAATCAACAGCAAAGTGCAGTTTCCCCTCAGACAAAACAGTAAGATGCAGCAACTTCTATCACTGGAAACAAGTGACATTATTATGAACAACATGTAAAAACACCTCAGGGTGTGATCTTACCCTGACTGGCAGTGCTGATGCCCAAGTGAGTCAGATTGGCAGCAAGATTCCCAGTGCTGTTGGAGCTGCTCAGGGCTGGGAATGTGGATTCCTCAGGATCTAATGGTGTTGGGAGGGGGGATGGGAAGTGGATGTTGGTCAGGTCTGGCAGGGAGCCACCTGTGTTATGTGTAGCAGGAATCAGTGTTGTAGTGTTTTCCTGGTCAGCTGATGGAAAGATGCTAAAGAAGGGAGAAAAAACAAAGAAACAAAACATAATTCCATTTAAATTTCAGCCTGACAGGTCTTCATAAAGTGTATTTTAAAAAGGAAGCTGCCTTATACTGAATTCTATCTTGTATTTCAGAACAATCCAGAGAGGTAACAGTCAAGGAGTCACTGAGGTTCTGGATTCTTGTATCTCCTGCAGTGTTACAGCCTCTAAGGGCTCCTCAGAAAACCCCAAAGCAAGGACATTCATTAGGCAACATTCTTTCTGAAAGACCTCAATGAAGAGAATTGCTCAAAACTTACTTGATTCCTGGAACTTCACATGATTTAGGTCTTGATGACCCAGTCTAAAATAGAAGGAAGACATTTTTTAAAGGCAAAGATATTGCTGCAGATTAATGCTTAGGATATATTTCAATGAATACATTTTATTGCATTTATTACATTTCTACAGAAGAGCTGCTCTTCTACACAGGAGCTCTGTGAAGCTCTTAGAAGAGATATGTCTTTTGGTTTTTGCTTTATTGGTCCAATAAGGCTTAAATTTAGAGCTTCTCCTGATATAATCAAATAAAGAGCATTTCTGATCTCATGTTTAGTGATTGCTAAAAATAGAATTTAATCTCTCATCTCTGCAAGTAGTTTGGTTTGGTTGACAATATTTAGAGCATTAGTTTACTTAAATATGTTTAGAAAATAAAATCTCTACACCTTGAAATGTGAGATTCCTACCTTTTTAGTGTCCCAGCCTTGCTTAGAGAGGGTTTTATCTGCCTCAGAGGTGGTTTCCTCCATTCCAGGGACTGTCAGCAATAAAACTAAAAAATGAGAACAAAAGGAATCAGATCATAATATTAAGTCTCTCAGGAAGAAGTTTTTAGATTGGAAGTTTAACCATATGAAAACTCTTAAGTAACCTCCTATCAATGAAGATGAAACAGTGGCACTCAGTTGTTATGAGATTAAATAGAATTTCAGTCTCTTCTGGTACTAATTTTTATTTTTTTTTAATTAGCAAGGAGACATTATCAGCTTCCAAAAAAAACCCCAAATAATATTTTTTAAAAATTGCCCTTAAATTTATTCTGCTTCTTCTGGAAGTGTATCTTGGGAGCTAGTTTTTCCTGTCTTCTGCATTTTCCACAAGTGAGATGTACACCTGCTACATCTCATGGGTGTCCAACAGGACAATTCCAGTGGGGAAAAATCAGGACCATCTCCCCACGACAGAGAAATGCTACAAAGTTGCTGCTTCTTCATATTCCAAGCACATTTGTTTGCTCAAAGCAGTCAAGTGTTTCATCATGCTAACAGCAAGGTGACAAAGAAACATGAAACAAAAAGCCCAGCCACAGAGGTGCATCAGCAGAAGCCATTCATGACAATAAGTTTATATTTATACAATACCGTTTAAGGTGATAATTATTTAATGTTTTACAGCTCTGGAACTGTATAAGAGTTGCAGTACAGTGCACATGCACCTGAGTGCTGTATGTTCACTCATTTCTGGTGGTTGTTTTAGGATTCAATTTCTACACACCAAAGTAAAGAGCCTTCCATGGATTTCTTGAGCTGACAGGGAAGAAGGGCCAGCAGAGGGCACCAGAATTGCTAGTGCTGGAGCTGCCCTGCTCCAGCCTCACTGGAACGTCAGTGCTGTTTGTAGGCACTGCCTCTGAGGGTTTGCTCACTACTGATTGCAACCCCATAAATAAAAGTAAGATGAAGCCTTGCTGCTTTCTGATATTGTATCACTGACCATGAAATAGAAGATTTAGGCTGGACACCACGAAGAAATTCCTTGCAGTGAGGGTGGTGAGACACTGGAACAGATTGCCCAGGGAAGCTGTGGCTGCCCCATCCCTGAGGGTGTTCATGGCCAGGCTGGATGAGGCTTGTGCAGCCTGGTCTGGTGGGAGGCCCCTGCTCAGAGCAAGGAGGTTGGAACCTGATGATCTTTAAGGTCCCTTCACACCCAAACCATTCCATGATTCTATGATTTAATGCCTGGGATCTCCACGCTTAGCTGGAAGTCACTACAGACTGCAAACCTCTGGTACCTCTGAGAGGACCTGAACCACAAGAGTCTCACAAGCCCAGATTACTTTTCCCCATAGCAGAAGGTTTTAGAATAACAGGAGATGCTGTTCAGGAAGATGTTCCATCTTAACTTACATCATTTTTTCTGGATTTCAGCAACCACAAGTCTCAGTAACCTATCAAGCTCTTTGAGCCATTTCCTCTGTAACTGAATCTAGAAAGTGTTCTGCTTACATGTATTTCTAGACACAGATCAACACTAAAACATGCAGATTATCTGAAGTACAATGCTTGAAATTGTACAAATATTTGTACTGGTTTTTCTCTCTTTACCTCTTTTCTGCTGCATGTCCTGTGACCCTCCTGAGAAGGATTCTTGTTGAGCTGGAGTCATAGTACTCTGGTGCAAGGCAGAATCAGAGTTTGTCCTGAAAGGAAAGCCAAAAAAATATTCTCATTGTCAGTTTCTCTAAATAAAAGAACACTTAAATCTCAGAGAAATGCAACCAACTCAGTAAAACCTCAACATTTCACATTAAACACCTGAAATCTATATGTGGCATGTACCAGGCACAATTTCCCTGTGAAACAATCAATTTTCAGGACAAATTAGTTCAAGTTTGAAGAGCAATTGTTTCAATAATGGGATCGAGAGGAATACAGGCTAAAGTGGTTGCTGCAGTTAGAAAATAATTTTACATGTCTTGTTAAGATTATGCATGATCAAATAATGACATTTTTTAGGTCTTTGAAAAGAAAGCATCCCTGTTTCATAGGGAGGGCAACTGACTGGTTCAGGATGCAGGGATATTGTGGAGCTGGGACATCCACAGACAGGACATCCCTCATGTCCTTTGCTTGGGAATGCAGGGCTCCCCCTTGGCACCTCCAAGGTCAGGAGCACGAGGGGCAGGAACAGGCAACTCCTTCCACTCCAGCACCTGCAAGGGCAGACTAACCCAGTCCCTGCTCACTGAGAAATACTCAGGTCTTTTACAACTCAACAGTTTTGGGCCGTGCCTTGGAACACCTGGCAACATTTACCCTTAGAAAGATGACACCAGCTGGCACACCTTCAGTTTAAGAATAAGCACAATAGAAGAAAACAATACATTTCTAAATTCAGGAGGGCATGGCAATTCAGATCACCAGCTGCTGTGGGGGAAAATACAGGACTCTGCTGCAGGTGAAAGTATCAGAGAACACAGTCCAAAGATGCACACACACATATGATTGCACCACTGACCTTCTCCAGCTTGTGTCAGAGGGTGGTGACAGGTACACGGTGCCATAGGGACAGCTGTCCACGTGATTCCCTCAGTTAAGGGCAAGAACACCATTCTCACTTAAGCAGGAGGCCTATATGAAATCTTTTCCTGAGGAATAATGCAAATTACCCTGTCAGAACCACTAAGCTCACAGGAGAAAGGCAAGCAGACCCCCTGTGGGGAAGACACTGACTTTAAAAGGACACTCAAACAATATGTTATCTGGAACGTTGCAATGTTTGGGAAACAGGACAAACATTCTCCTTTTCCCTTTCTGAGCATCCAGCTCTTCCCAAGAAGCCATCAACTCTCTGCTCTCCCACTCACACAGCCCCTTTAGCCTCATCAAGCCAGTTTGACTGTGGCACATTTTAAGCCTGTCAGAAATAATAAGCTAATTCATTTTCACAAATGGCAAGAAGAAACACCACTTGGCAAATGCTAAACTGATGAAACAACCTGTAATAAAATGCACAACCAACTGCAAAGAATTATCCTGGTTTCGATTGACTCGGTTTTGAAGGGAAACTCAGTTTCACCAAGACTGCCTTGCCTTTTCCATCAAAGGATCTCAATCCCTCTCAACTCCATGTGGATCATTATCCCCACTTAGAGGTGAAGAAATGGAGAAAGGGAAGTGCTTACTTTACAGAACAGCAGGTATTTATAGACTAGATCACAGTTGAGGAAAGGCAGATGACATTAACTGCACACAGATGGGGAGCCACTCTGCTGACAGGTGAGGAGGGGAAGGAGCAGGGTAAGAACTGAAAGCTCTGGTCTTATTGAAAGGCAGATGTTCTCTGCCAGCTCGTAAACCAAAGGATATTTGTCTTCCATGTTTATCCACAGAGAGAGGGCGTCGGTGCGGGGAGCCCAGGCGGTTCCTGTCACGATACACTCTGTCCACCAGCCCATGGTGCCGGGTTGTTCTGCTTGTGTCCAATCCTGATGACTGAAAAGGAGTCTGAGAGAGACACATGAAGTTACAAGCAGAAAAATACTGGCATGAGCAGCCTGCCCAGAGCCTATTCATGTCATGTGCAAGGTTGTATTATTCTAAGGAACAAAACTCCAGAAGATATGGACAAGTGTAACCATGTTCATTTTTCCTCCAGCAACATTTTTACTACAGCCACAGCCAGCAATTCCCAAGGCTATTTCTTCCAGACAGAGATTAGAGACAAGTGGAGGCAGACCATGCTAGACCTGCCCTCTCATAAATCAGCACTGCTCTCCAACCTTTGTATCTCTAAAATCCCACAGTGAGGGTGGCAGGGAGCCTCCTGACAACTGCTGTTGCCATTCCCTGGCTGTAGCATGCAGCGTGCATCCTGAAGGAACATGCTGACAACCAGAGCTTCAAATCCAAAGGCAGGAGATGCAGGGAGGAGATGCACAGTGAGCCTGACATTCACTGCCACACACTCTCTCTGAACTTCCCTTCACCCCCTCCTTTCAGCATCATGATTTTAAGGGGACACTGGTAGAATTAGAAGAAAAAGAAAAGCATTTTCCTTCCTCCTCTGTCTAAAAAAAGTTAACAGCATTCCATGTTTTTTAAGTGATTTTCATGTCGTTCAGGTTGGGAAGCAACCCTGGGTGGGGTCGACTCCACTTTGAACCTTGTCAGCATCTTGAGAACATTTACTTGTCAGTGAGTGATTTCAGAGAGTGGGGATGGCAGAGAAAGGACAAGGAAGATGAATTCCCAAGGCTAAACTGGAAATTTTCTCCTACAGTTTCAAAAGCCCTTCCCAGTGTTTACCTGCAGGGGGGGGAAAGGAAGTACAGAATAGCCAACCTCTGCTCATACTTCAGCAGCAATATATGGGGCTCTGGGGGAAAAAAAGCTGCACAGTTTTCCACTCCTTGCCAATGTGAACAGCTTTGCTGAGTCCCTCAACACCATCTGCTTGGAAATCCAAAATTTCCTCCTCCATTCAGGTGCTGCACGTGGCAAATGCACTGTCCTGTCTGCCAAGCCATGAAACCATCTGGCTCCCACATTCAAGAAAAAAAAAAACCAACACAACAAAAAGGACTAAAGTGTCCAGCTTTGGCTGTTTAAATGATTCTTTCTAAAAAGTTTTCAATTTATTTTAAAATGTTTTGTTTGTAATAACTTTTTAAAGAGCCCTTCTGCTATTTTAAACTCTTTTCTATTTAGCAAATATTGGTCTCCTCTCCCTCTCTGCACATACAACCTGTGTTGATATAAATGGATGCAAAGTGGCTGTGATGTTTATTTTCTCATTTCAGGGCCAACACTTTATATGCAGCAGAATATTGCTTAAGTCAACATGGGACTTGCAAGAGAGCACAGTGACTTTTTGCTGTACTCTCAGCTACTAAAATCATGGGGTTTTGCTTCAATTCCTCAGCAAGTATTGACTTCCTTATATGAAGACTTAGAAACCTCAAGTTGTAGCATCTCAGCTTTAAGCAATTTAAATTAAAACAGGTCAGTTTGAGCTCTGCTGCCAACACTAAACAACCATCTAGTTGCACACAGAACTGGGAATATTCCTCATTGCAAAACAACAACAGAAGATCTCAGACTCATCTCTGTACTGTTGTTACATCAATTCTACCCCAGAAGGCAGGAAAATTTGCAAGACATGCGTGTCTGGAAGGTCAACAGGAAAAGCAATTTCCTATGCCAGTGGTCTCAGCCACAGAGTTACTAAAAAAGAAGCCAGACTGAATTATACAGAATGCAGATCCCACCTGGAATTTAAAAGGAAGCCAGTGCTTACGAGTACACAGGCAAAAAGCTAAAGGCAAACAATTCTTTCTGAAGCTTTCCCTTTTCTTTTTTTTTTTTTTTTTTTGGCACAACTTCCACACAACAACACAACCAACATGTAACCTGAGTGCAAGGGTGGCACAAGGAAACACAGACCATGCCCTGTCACAGGGCTGCAGTTAACACAGCCAGGAATTTTTGGGTAATGCTGTTCTCTGGCTTTCCAGGAACAGAGATCCCAAGTGAATCCTTGTTTAGGGAAATCAAGAGAGAAGACAAACACTTGAGAAAATGGGTATGGCCTCCAGCAGGTCTGGCTTCTCTCAGCAGCCATCCTGTGAAGCTTACTCTGGACCAGGCAACCACTTCATGAAAATCCCCATCCCTGCAGGGCACGTGATGCTTAACTAGAGGAAACAACTGGGATTTAACAAAACAACCAAACAAACCAACCTACAAAAAAACGATCCAAGCATCAATTTTATTTGGAAAATGGAGAACCAGAACTGCTCTGCTTCCCTTAAAAACATTCAACTGTTTGAGATCAGAACCTAAACTCCAAAAAAAAACATTTTAAAGAAAAGCACCTAAATACAGACAGGAAGGAAAAAGCTCAGTGCTCTAAAGAAACAGTGTCCCTTTAAGACTGATCAAGACATTGAAATAAAAATGAGCAAGGTGGATGAGGGGGAAAGAGAGTGGTATCTGCTGCCAGTCTACATTTGGGTGCCCCATGTGGGTGCCAAGCAGCATTAGGGGCATCATTCTGCCTCTCCCGATGGAGCTCAACATGCAGGCTGAGTGCACATGCTCTGAGAGTGCTCCAACCACAGGCCAAGCCAGTGCCCAAGAAACCCCCCTCTGCATCAAATTAATCCCCCCAGAAATCATAAGTAACCACATGACAGACCACAGCAAGTCCAGGGAGTCTGTACAGGAATTATTATGCATGTTCCAAACTGGGATGCATGGCAAAACCTGTATGTATGTGACAGAGCAGAACTCCTTTGGAGCTGGCAAGGTGGCTCCAATCAATACTGTGCATCCCAGAGGAGGTAACATGTGCTAAAATACGTATCTACCTGGGCAAACAGGACACCAGTCCTAAATACGTATTTGCACAAACCTAAATACTTGTTTACCAAAGAGACAGGAACTGCTCCAAAGGCTTCAGCCAGAGCTCCGTTGTGCTGTAAATGCAAAGAACCAAGATTCTCAGACACTAAAGCTCCCACCAGAGACACCCAGACAGGCTCCACCTCACTGGCACAGCCCACAAGCAGCTTTTGGCAATTTCATGGTTTAGCTTAAAACTGAAAGACTTGGGAAGCATTCATTCCTGACACAAATATACAGGTTTATTTAGCTGCTTGTTACCATTTATTATCTGGAACAGTATAAACCTTGGATATATGTGTGTGTGCATGTGTGAAAAATATAAAAACCTAGATTTAGGTTAGACATCAGGAAGAAGTTCTTCACCATCAGGCTAGTAAGGTGCTGTAACAGGTTGCCCAGGGAAGCTGTGGCTGCCCCATTCCTGGGGGTGTTCAAGGGCAGGTTGTATGGGGCTTGGAGCAACCTGGACTGGTGGGAGGTGTCCCAGCTCAGAGCAAGGAGGTTGGAACCTGATGATTTTAAGGACAGTTTGTTTCCATATCCTCCTCTAGTCGCTCTTAAATTTTTGAATACTCACTCTCAAGTCCTCTGTTAGGTTCAGCACTAAAAGAGTCTATGTGGTAACTCAGTAACGGCCGTTGAGCACAAAAATACTGAATTATTATTGCTTAAAAAGAAAGGTAACTGAGAACCTTCTCAAAAAGAAACTAAAATCAAAATCTGTGGATCTTGAAAAGATCAGACACTTGGGGAATACTCCTGAGGACTTCACAGCAGCACAAACCTCTGCACTGTATTCCCTAAAGGGAAGCAGATTAAAACAGACACTTGCTTCTCCTCTTGCCCAAGATTCAAGCTTTTAACCTTCACCAACTGAGCTGTCTACATGTATTTCAAAAGGCAGAGGAGACATCAATAGTTTCTCTGTATTTATTAAGCTTCATCAGAAACCACAAACTGCAAAATTTCATCCTTACCACATCCTTGTGAGATAAAATGTAAATGTTACTACTCAAAAGAGGAAATTACTGCAAAAAAGTTGAGTATTTTGAGCACCCTAAATCAACCAACTATAGAAATGAGGAGTTCCCAAAGTATCCATCTCCTGTCCAAAGGTGCTCACCAGCAGTAACACATTCCCACACACACTGCTTTTCTGTCCATAGTCCATCACCTCTGGAGCCACAACAGCAAAACAACTTGTACATCCCTACATCCTTTGCAGCCAGACCAAGAAAAGTGACTATTCTGACATAGCTTGTGTCCCATTCCCTCTCCTCCTCTCCTGTAATCCAGGCATTACTCCCATGGAACATGCATAGTACCACAGGGTACCTTCTTCCACACCCCCATCTCCTGGCACCTCCCACATCACCTCGTATTATTTGCTTCCACTTACAGCACCTTCACCAAATATTTTATTCTAAATTTGGTACTGAACAAAGTGAATATTCCCTGTCAAAGAACTTGTACCACCTCTGTACAGTCCTGACACAACAGCATCACAACAAGGGACAGGAGAACTAATATCTAACCCTACATGTATGCAACACAAAAATATCCACACATCCATACACAACTTTGCTCCATTCCAAAAGAGCAACCCTGTTTAAAACAGCCTGATTTGCTGAGGCCACAGTTCTACATTCTGAACCAGCAGCTATCTCATACCCTCCTGAGAGGGAAAAACAAGCATGTAGGCACAGCATTAGTCAACAAAAAGAAAGAAACACCCTATTAAACTCACCTGGAAGGGCAGATCCATGGCACTGTTTCCAATCTGGTTCACATTTGGCAGTGACCCACCGTAGTACTGGCCACGACTCTGTCCCAGTTGCAAATATTGGGTTTTCTGCAGCTGTAACTACAAAAAAATGAGAAGAAAAGTGTAAGGGCAACTCATTTATTTTTCAACTGCTGTAACTGATTCAACTCAACACCATTTCCATCATCACCAAGAATGGATCCCACCTATAAACAGAGCGAATCCAGCTTCTCCAAGGGGACATCAGCCTCCACCAAGCCTGGTTGGCCAAGTGCCAGGTGAGGCCTGGAGTGATAGTTTGGAGCCATGGAAATAAAACCAACTCCATAGTCAGTGATGGGATTCAATTTCCAACAATTAACCACCACATGAAACCACATGCTTCTTATGCCACCTGCTATTCCAAAAACTGGGATGTTAAAACCCCTATGTTGGTCCCAAATGAACCAGCTGTTCTTGTGTGTGATACACAGATAAATCACCTTAATTCAGTATATTGAGTATACTGTTGAACCAAACATTCAGCCTTTCAGCAAACCAGCTAACAGAGGGGATGTGCCTTCCCACCAGTAGATAAATGTTCTTTCTTGCAGCAAGAAAAGCCCTTGAGGAAGGGTGGAGACACAGGTTTCCAAAGAAAACCCAACCAAAAAAAAACACCAGCAAAGAATTGCTTACTGAACAGGTATACATGAAAAGAAATGTGTCAGTCTGCACAGTTACAGTAAATGCTAGATGTCACTCTGCAGCTCTGGATGACACATCTCTTCTGAAATACCTTAGTCTGCTTTCCCACAGCTACACACATTTCTGTAAGAGACAAAGTTGTTCCTTTTCTACTCAAACATCAACATATTTTCGTTGTCACTTCTTTCGGAGGTCTCAACAGCTCAGTAATAAAAGCCACAATTTTGATTAATTTTCTGTTAGTGACATTCCATTTTTTCAGTTTAGGAGCACCAGTATTTCAAATAACTTCTCACACAATTCTGTAACATTCTCACAAAATACCCCTAGATTTAACAACACACTGCCACCAAAGCCCTCAGTATTACACTAATAAAACAGAATTTGCTATTATCTGAACACAACAAACCTGCTCCCAGGGATGCATCTTCTAAGGACTCAAGAAACTGTAATTACAGTGGCCAAGAAATGAGCTTACATAAGTTTTCCCTCCTCCCACAGCGGAGGAACATGTATTTTATACTCTGTGTTGCTCCTCACTAGATGTCTACTGGCTATTTTTGCACTCTTAAATGCAAGAGCATTCCTAGATTGGTAGCAAAGAATTGTTTAAAGACTAAATGTTCAGATCTTGGCCTAGATGCAGGTCGGTTGCTAAGGTACTGGAGTGTGTACATCAACAAATCTGGTTTAGTTTCATTTAAACAGACCCGAAAGGCTCTGCCTGGCTATGCCACAATTCTGAAGAGCAAAGTTTGGAGAAGTACTAGAAAACACAGCATCCCTAAAACTAGATGTTTACATGGGTTGGGTTTTCTTTACACTTTCTTCAAGCAAAGGAAATGGCAGGTGGAAATGAATGGCTCTGCCTCCACAACTTTACCACAAAGGCCCTGAGGTGAGTGAAGATGTTTTATTCCAGATGAGGGAAGAGCTGGCACCTTCTGTGCTGACCAGGCAATGGATTCAGAGTCCTCTGATCCAAGGGCAACACCAAGAGCAGGGATGCTGAGCGTGCTGACAGCACCAAGAGAGAAAAAGAACTGGCTTGCTTATATCACACCAACACTCAGGGATATATATATATTAAAATAATTCCAGAATAGAGGAGAGGAAACAACATCACCCCGAGGAAAATGGCGTACACATCCTTCTGATTTCAAAACTGTCCCTAGGAAAGCAACTCAAATACTCTTTACTCACAGAACTTCCCCAGGAGCCACCAATTTCCAAGAACACAAACAGCCAAAATTGTTATGCTTTAGCTGAGGGACTGAACGAATGCAAATCTTAAGAGAAGGTCTTCAAGATGAAACCTCTCTATGGACCAGGAGCTCTCAAAGGCCTCAACTATCCAAACAAGAAACCAGTCACGAAGCAGCTGATGGTCTTTTCTTTAACCAAAGGGCAGATAAATCCCCCCAGCCTGAAGACTTATAAAATATTCACAGTGCGTCGTGTCAAACGCTTCAAAAAGATCCCATCTTAAAAAAAGCAGGACAAGGCCTCTCAGCTTTTCCTTTGCAATCTTTGGACACACAATTCCAAATCCAGTGCTCTCTAAGCAATCCATGGAATTAGAGAAATGCTCAGCCCTGCTCTGGCTCCCTGAGTCACAGTCCCTCTCACTCCAAGCTGCAGATCCCTAAAAGCACAATATCAGAACTAGCTGTGCTTTTTGCCCAGCCCCTACATATGTTTTTGTTGTTAAAAAAAGGCTTGCTTGGGATTTGTGCCAAACATTGAAGTAACTATTTCAACAGGTGTTGGTTTCTTTTAAAGAATCTACTATAAGATACCCAGGGAAGGGGAGGGGGTTGCTTTATGGGTTTTGTTTTTTTTAATGTTTTGGCCTTCCCCAGCATATACCTACCTCAGAGCATAATGTAAGAGGGAGGTCACAACCATTTGTCTTTCCACTGCAGTTAAATGTGGAAATGAGGAAACACAAGAGATGGAGAACTCGAGCAGGTCTCAAAACCGAGCTTGTTAAATGGCTTTGCAGTACCATTAATTTCAGTAACGCTACCTTTGATAAACACTTCTGGAGATCCCTGCCAAAAATAAGAAAACTGATTGCTTGTTATTGCTATCATATATCACTACACCAGCAAGCTGAGCTGTGTTTGTTCCTCTCCTCAGCCTCCTGCCTTTTAGCAGCGAGTGGCCCCCAGACTACGTAGTTTAGAGGAGACCATCAACAACTGCCACTTGCAATCTGGGAAGATCAAGGGTAAGCAGAGCAGGCCCGTGTGCTGAGTGTCTCAAATCTCTAGCTTTTCAGCTGCTAAGGAAGCATTTTTAAATGCTGTGACACTAGACCTCACTGTCATTCCAACAGGATCTCAAGTCAGATCATTTCAAGCCTTTCAAAGCAGAAGATCAGCAAAATAACCTGCCAATGTCACTGTTGTGCTCTGAGGGAACTTGGGAGCCTGGAGTCATCCTGAGGAGATCTGTGCAGAGAGCAAAGCAGCACTGAAAATGAAAACAGACATTGTGGCTAAAATCAGCACTTCCTCCTCCTTCTGTGCAACCACCTTGTGAATTCAGTGCGTTGCACAACCTGGGGGTTGGGGATTGGGTTTGAAGGGGGGGGGGGCTGTGGGGTTTTATTTTAACAGATAAAAAAAAAAGCCTTTTCTTAATAGCAAAAAAATCCAAATTACTCTTAAAATGTTAACAAGTCTCATGACAAGTCCAGCTTTATCTCCTGGGGTTGGATTCAATTAGTGGCAACTTCCTTTCTTTACAAATTCAGATGGTGAAGTATGATAATGAATGACTTAGTGTTCACCAGATATATTAATCTCTTGAACCACCAAGACTCAGTGACTCTACATCACAGCTTTGCCATTTGTGTGTTATGTGGCCAAGATAATAGCTCCTTGACAGCTGAAAATATTGCTAAATATTCCAGCTCTTTCCTGAGAAAGCTTTTGGTAAGGAAAAAGCTTTTGTTTGTTAAACCACTTTATTTCTGCTTGGCGTTCTTGCTCAGAAGAAATGTTTCCCTAATGACAGATCCCAACTCAATCTGTCATTTTTCCCTCCACCAGCATTTCTCTTACGCTACTTAAAGAAAAAAATTAAGATTTTAAGTTAAAATCCAATTGAATCATTAAAAATCAAATATCTCTGCACGAGCAGTTTCTCTAGAATAGCTGAAAACATTCCCCAAATCAAAGGTGGACAGAATCTTGGTTTGCCAGATTTGAAGTGATGTTAAAAGCAATAAATTTCTGCAAAGGTGCAAGAGTAACAGTCTGAGAGGCAGCAACAGGATCTCTCCAACAAAGAGCAAAGGAATCGTTACCTTTCCATGTACTAATTAGGAATTTGTCAAGCAGTTACACTCTTAACTCAGCTCACAGTTGTGTAACATGACATGATCTTACTCTGGTTAATGGGGCTGGACACACATAGCTTTGGTAAGTAATCAAAAATATTAGCTTTAACACAATTACTGACTTGCTAACAACTGAACATTCTTTCATGTGAACCCACTTCTGTGAACTATCTCAATTATTCCACGTAATTTGGGTGAAAGTTTGCTGGATATACAGCTGTGTTTGTAGG